TTTCCGACTTCGCTCGTCGGCCGGGAAAGAAAGCGAGCGGCCGCGAGACGAATGGGTAGTGCTGCCTTGGTCTGTGCAGGTCAGTCGCTCGGCTCCGGAACCAACAAATTCCGGCAAACGTCCAGATGAATCGTCAGTCGTAAACGAGATCGTCACGCACGTCGTCACAGTCCCGACGTGCGAAAACTTGGCCCATCTCCTTACCACCGGATACCGTAGGGGTTCGATCGTTCTGTTTCGTCTCGTTCCGAGATTTTCGGTGGAATCCTCCTTTCTGGTAGAAACAGTTTCGATGCAGAAAATACGAGATGTGGTAAAGTTCGTCGTCGCCGAGAATGGATGCAGGAAGCGAACTGAGATGAGTCCCCGTATGGAACCCCGGCTGCCACTGTTGCTGGACCTCCGGTGTCTTTTTGCGGAGCCAAGACAACCGTGTGGTGCAAAAAGCAATCGGTGTTGTTCGTCGATCGATATCGCTCGTTTTTTTTGGCTTCGCCGTAGCTGATGCTTAGGCCGGACGGAATGATGCTCCGGACTCGAAGCCCTGGCTCGCACCGAAGAGGAAGAGGAAGCGAGAAGAAAGGCAATCGTGCTCCGACCACTGCATCTGGGGCCCTGTTCCGAATTCGTTGAACGTCGTCGAGCCCAGGCGTTCCGGACTCGATGAGGCGAGTGAAACTCCCCGTTTGAGTTTCTCAGGGCTCATCATCACTTTCAAGAACGAGCGCCTCCCCGTGAAAGGTGATATTGGGGGGGGGGGGGGGGGGGGTGGGGGTGGCGGGGGGGGGGGGGGGGGGGGGGGGGGGGGGGGGGAATTGGGGACAGACGAAAAATTTTCGTTTCGAGTTCTGTAAGAAGTACGGAAACGATGTTCCCATCCTTTCCGAAGAGCTGGAGACATTCCCACACCGAAGAAAAGTATGGAAACGCTGTTTCCACTCCTTCCCTCGTATTTCCTCGATCCCACCATGGAAACGTCGATCCGGCGTCGGGCCTATGTTACCACTATTTTACGAAATTTTGACGGTGCTCAATTCGACGCGCTTCCAACACGTGCTCGAAAGTTAGCTGAAATTCGTTGCGCCGAGGCGTCGCCATTCGCAATTACTCGTAAGACTCAGATATAGAAAATGGACACAAGCACGCGCTGACAGTGGAATGAACTCCACCCCCGAAAATGTAAGCTGTATTCAACTTCTCTTCCGTTCATATAAATCCTTCGATCTGGCATTTTCTTGCTGACGGTTTTCTTGAGGTTTCTCCAGTCGATGAGCAGTAAATGAATAAGTATCACTCGAGAGAATTTTGTCGTTCATTCAGATTCTTTCCATCGTTCACGTCGGGGAGCGAAGCAGGCTGAATCTCATCGCTCCAGAGGGATTCCAGTCCCGTCTTCCAATTTCAGTTTACGAACGATTCCATTTGAATGATTGTTCATAGCCTTATGCCGATGAAAGAACTTCTGGCGGAATTTCTTACGTCTGGTGGGAGCATATTAACCCTTAAACGACCAAGCTGGGTCTAGTTTGCCAAGTTTCATTGGATTCTGAGATGGTCGAGCACAGATCATTCATTACCTCACTTAGGGCGGAATGATCCATCTTTTAACAGTGTAAATGAGTATTGTACGACTTAGGCGAGGGTGCTGAAAAAACTGACATGCATTTCAACACCTTGTGACCGTCCAATGTTGATCGCATAGCCAATGTATCTTTTTTTCGCATTATTGAAACTGTTTATTCTCCAATAGAAAACGGCGGGGCGTTTTTTTTTTTAATGACCCTATAGATGAGACTCCATGGCAACAGCCACGATAGGCCGACATCACACGTTTTGGTCTTAGGCCGAGATCATACTCGTGCAGCACAACATGCTGGATGCTGCAACTTCATGCTCTATTGAAAAATCCAATGAAGCACGTCCAGCTGCTGGATTGCAATTCTCCAATGCGTCGAGAAATATGTTGTACGACAGCTGGATGCCTCATGCCGTTCGGTAAAAAAAAATTCCTACCGTACAGCATGCTGGGTTGAATAGAAACCATATTTTTTTTAGGATGCAGGAGAACATGCAGTACAACTGATGCAGAGCTGCAACTGCTGGTTGCAGCGTGCAGTTTTTGCAGTCCTTAAACGGACTGCTGCCGTGTACTGCATCCAGCGTCCAGCTTGCTGTACAATGCAGGACAGCACGAGAATGAACTCTGACTTAGCTGTATTTAACAGCTGATAACCAACGAAAAGTGTTAAAGAGTACTATATATCAATACTTTGAATGAATACTTATAAAGGGAGGAATATTAAGATTGTCAATTTAACAATCACCATTTTAAAGCACCATTATTCAGGAAATATGAAAAATCCATGACATATTTGAATGGGGTTTTGTAGAGAAGCAAGATTAGAATGTCCTCTATCAGACGTTAACTTCATCGTTTCTGCAATGATAATGATTATATTGACAGATGTAAGAACTCTTCAAGAGCGTTCAGATGAGCTGAAGAACATTATTTTGTCCTGTAAGGACCTCATGGCATCCTAAATAGGCCGAAACTTAGTGGCCCCCGTATCTCCGAAGAAAGAAGAGTGCCAGAATTGAACACGTTGGCCATATTTCGTTTCTCAATAGAAGCATGCTGCGTGCCAAATTAATTCAAATAGATGGAATGACCCCACCCCCCATTACCGTTCCCTGATCACCTGAGATGGAACGACCCGCCTTCAACAATAAGATAATAATAGCGTATTTGAAGACTGGGCCGGCTCGTGTCTCAAAGCCTGAGCTCGTATTTCACGTCTATGGGATATTCGTATTTTCTACCAAAACCGGTTGATGGGTTCGGAGTACATTTAGTAGCAGGTGCATAGGTGTAGACCTGTGGGAACAACCTCTCAACTCGTGTTTATCTACTCGTGCTCCCGCAAATTGTTTACACAGATAATGGATTGCTTGTGACGTGAAATTCAGATACCCTCTTCAGATAACAAATACCTCCTGCGAGCTCGTGCGAAAGTATAAAAAAGTCGATTCACTCCGAGAAAGAGTCGACTAACAGATTTAACAACCATCCCTTCGACTCCCCTCGGTCCTCAACTAATTAGGTTCATTTTTTGACTGTTTTTCTTTTCATGCCTGATGCTGGGTCATTTATCATTGATTGAAGACTTATGTAAGGCCCCTAGAAGCATACAGGGTTGTCAGAAGTGTAAGGATAATGCTTCATCCAGTCAAGTACCCTATGAGTGAGTGTCACAATGTTGTAGCGAACTCTGCAATAAGTATAAATAAGATAGTGCAAGAAAAAGAAAACATGGAACAGAAATGTGATTCGTCTGGTGTCTTTCAAGATGAATTTAAAATAAAAATTTCACTCGTGACACGGAAATCGTCATCCCTTGAATAACCCAAGCCCTCATCCGTCAAGTGTTGAATATGATATGAAGGTTGAATCGTCCGTCACGGAAGTCTTCTGTAGCAGGTATAACATCTGACATCCCTGTACTGTCACTCATCAGGGCGATGAAGATAATCTCTCGTCCTTCTTCCACTCCTCGTAAATCATGGGATCGATCGGCGTTCGAGAGAACATCAATTCTTTCTTCCCTGAGTGACAGTTAGACATGGCGATCTCACTCTGCCTCTTATTCTTTGCGATGTTCATCATCTGGAGAGGAGGAGGGGGCCATGTTCGTGGAAAGCGACCACGATGGACGCAATGGCTTCGGAGTTTCCGAGTGGTCGCCTGTTTGTCGTTCCATCCGGAGCTTTCTCCTCATACTCTCCTTACGGTGATGGGCGTGGCTACGATCATGACAACCGTGTCTTTCGTGTGATTCTCCGTTTCACTTCTTGAAACGCGTCGGCATTGAAATGCCCTACGTGTTTCCAGGTCGTGCTTGAAAAGCAGCAATGTCGATCACTACACTTTCTGATTGCTCGACCATTATTAAATCGATTCAGGGAGGAAAATGGGGAAAGATAAGTTTTTTCTTCTTTCGGAAAGTTTGAATGTAGCGTAAACGCGGTATATCTTATACGTCTCCCGAATGCACCACTGCCACCCCAATTCCCTCACAAGCACACATTTTTTGTGTCAGATTGTACTGAGTCCTGGGTGATTGATGATATTGATCCACAAAAAGATTGTGGCAACTACGTTATATTTTATTTACCGTGGAGTTTCTACGTGGGCGGTAGACGTCGGTTATGAGGTTAGGGAATGGCCAGGAAAAGAGAGCATTCTTTTTCTTCTTCTTTTTTTTTTTTAACCGAGTGCCATTGCTCTTCAAAAAGGAGGCACGGTAACTTATCTATACATGGCCGGCCTTAGGCCTGTGCCGCATGTGCCCCCGCCCAGGGCGCAAATTCACTAGGGGTGCCAAAATGTGCCAGAATGGATAAAGCAATAATAATGGATGCTACCCTCAGTTTTATTTCAGAAAGTGGAAATGCCTTCCGTTTCGGCGTCTTTCTGGACGCTAGGTGTTGACTCCTCTCCCTTCTGGGCGGTAGGGGGCATTGAGAGTCTCTTTGCTCAAAGCACTGAAATAGCTAGGGCCAGCCCTGGTAACGTGAACTTGTGAAGATGATGCATTCGTTTTGTTTTCTCCAGAGGGTCCAGGCGTTGATCGCATCCAAGTCGTGTTCAATTTGACGGGATTGGAGGAAGAACTTCTAAGATGCGACCTACACTTCTTTCAGAAGAAGAAACATCTGCCGGAGTTTCACGAGGCCGATCATCGCTTTTCCTTCACGTCATCGAACGGACAGGTTGGTCTTAAACCCCTCATCTCATCGCAACGAATGAGACATCCCCCGCAAGTATAGCCGTCATTTAGTCGACGGGATAAGTTTTTCACGAGTCCACGAGGGGGGAATACCACGCCGTCGTTGCTGCTACCGTGTAACGGTCGTAGAGCTATGCCCGTGTAAAATTATGTCTCAACATTCCGTACGTTCGAGAACCTTCTAAGCGGCAAGCCTTATCATGAAAAGCGAACATGAATAGTTTTGGCTTTATTGATGAATATTTAAAAAAGGGTCTGTCGCCGGCCCGGTAACAGTTCTGGACCATTCTGTCGCTGCACTCGATGGTCGACCACCCATTACGGTTTCCGACCCGTAAAGGACGCGCGCGGAGAAAAAGCGGCTTTTAAATTCAGTATTTGTTGCTTCAAAAGTAACCCTTTGTGAACAGATCGGATTCCCTACGTTCCAACAGAAAGAAGGAAAAACGGTGTCCCTGGTGGGGAGCAGGAGCGGCTGGGTGCCATACGACGTGACTGCGGCCGTGAAAGAGGCCCTCCGTTCACCCCTTCGTCTCATGGAGATGAAGGTGGAAAAGCTGAAGCCGGGCCCGGAAGGTTACAAATGGAGAAGTCTACTCAAGGGTCACGTCATCCGGCACCATTCACCTCCGTTTCTCGTCTGTTTCTCTCGGGATCTCAACTCTGAAGCCAACAGCCTCGATGCGATTCTTCGAAATCATATCCACCTCCTCTCGTTCGGTAAGTCGTGGAATCCATTCCATCGAGTCTCGATGCAAAGGCGGGAGTATTCGAAGGTGCGGTCCATCCTTGGTATTCATCGCGATGGGATGTTTTGGAAAGGCATCTCTGTCGAAATACGAGGGACATTTGATCGGTTTTGGCAGTCGTCTATTTTCTGGCAGGAGAGCAACAATGCAAAGGCGTTTATTCCTCCGCACAACGAACCCAAAATTCTCGGAAAGAGCGGGAGGGACTAAGGATTAAGGTGACTGAATGACACTTCACAGTGCTTTCTGCACCTACCATTACTTCATCAGCCTCGCGAATACTCATGATATTCATGAGACTTACTAAGTGTGTACTACCACGGTACTCAGAAAGAAGACTTTTGGACCGTGAATTGAAACATTGAGCCAGTCTTGAATGCGCAAAATGCTTCGTTTAAAAAAACCATGCTTTGAGGTCATTTGGTTTTTTGGTATATTTGTCGAACGATTGTTGCCAGACAAGTTTTGTAGTATGGTTGTTTCCAGATCAAAACTAGAGGCTTGGTGTGAAAGTATTTTTGTACATTCAGGAGTTGGCCTCTGGTGTCGAATTCACAGCCGGGAAGTATGCCTCAGTCCGAGCACCGAGGATACTTTAGTCACCTGGTGACGACGAGAAGGCAACGCAATAGTAAATGGGGTTTAACGACGCGCGGATGTTGGGAGAGTATCTTGTATCCTATCTCGGTTACACCGTAGGCTTCACGCGCATAAGTATATGAAAATGGGTTGGCAAAACTTACTGAGTGTCCCTAGTAATACGTGAAACCCCTGCACTTCGGAATGCCAACCTTCCCATGACGGGAGTAAGTACCACCAAGTTCTGGAATGATGCTTAGTATAGCTATCTCGAAAAGGGCAAACCCCGTCTCGACATCACGATTTCATTCCATGGAGGGACTCCAAAAAATCCAAACGGATTTCTCGGTAGGTATTTGAAATAGTGCTTGTTTGATAAAAGCGCTCTAAATTGGCGTCTCGCAGGTCCCCTGCATTGCTTTTGGTTTCTGTATTCTGAGAGGTGGCAGACTCGTTCGAAGAGCCCGAGATCGGAGAGTTTAGGAGCCACTTTTCACGGATGACCCTGGCCTTGGCCCTAGGGTGGCCTTGGTTCTAGAGTGGCATTGGCCCAAGGGGCCTCATCCAGAAAAGAGGCACATCTCTCTCCTCATCTCGTATTCCTTCCCGTTCTCCACCGGCTCTCACGTCTCGGTCACCGTTCACAGTCTCGAGGACTCCTACGTGCATCCACTGAGAACTTCCCTTCTCGTTCGGATGCATGGAAATGCTAGAGCATAATTTCACCGATTCGGGCAGGTTCATCATTACATATGCACAATTCACACCCGAATGGTTTCTTCGCTTAAAATGATGTTAAAGTTAAAGAGGACAGGTGGTACGTATAGGTAAATGGATCGAGATGTGGAGGCATTCGATTCAATCTTGCCATGGAACATTGGAAGGAATGCTGGTTTATTTATTCTCCTACGCAGACAGACGGAAGCGATCGGTGCTGGACAACAAAATCGATGGAGGGGACTTCGGAATCGGGCACGATCCGACCGAAACGAATTCGATCATCACGAATGCCCTGCCGGACCTCACCGAGACGAATGGCATGTTGTTCCGAGAGGAAGATTTGCTTCCGACTCAAGCCGGTTATTGGGATCCGGAGGAACTCCCGTACGGCGAAGACGGCCCCGAAGACGGCCCAACCTTTGGCAACGGATTCGGAAAGGCTCGCAAGAAAAAGAAAGGGAAGAAACGTGGGAAACTCTTGCCTCTCGAATGGCAACATCCTTACAGGGTACGTTTCACACCTCTGACAATCTCATTTCGATTCTGGGCGTTCGCCGTGCGACTGAGAAACACTTTCGGTCGATCGTAGACGGCGGCGATCGCAAAGATGAAGGAAGCCGGACTGGGTCCTTCTCCTTGGCAGAGTCGTACGCAATGTCGGAAGAGATCCCTCACCGTGGACTTCAAACAACTCGGTTGGGACAAGTGGATCATCGCTCCTCGGTCCTTCGAAGCCAACTACTGCGCTGGATCCTGCTCCTTCCCTCTCCCGCATGTCTGTTTCTCATTGCAATCGCTTTCTATGAGATGGTAGGTTCGTTCCGGTTTCTCGTCATCGTTGCGTTTGTCGTTCCGCAGGCGTCGAATCCATCGAATCACGCGACGATCCAGAGTCTCCTTCGTGTGTTGGGAATGGGGAAAGAACTTCCGTCTCCGACCTGTGCCCCTGGATCCATGGCTCCCATGTCTCTTCTCTACTTCGACGGGAAAGAGAGCGTGGTGTTGAAGAGCTACTCCGGTATGAGCGTTCTCTCTTGTGGATGTCGGTGAACCCTTCACTCTTCGCGATGCTAGTCAAATCCCTCCCTCGAGGACCGAAAGACGCGATCGGCCAGCAACTTCCAATCTCGCCTCGTCTCGTCTGATGTCGAGTCCATCGAGGCACGAATCCCGATCGTGACGAGGGTTTTCCTGCCTGCCTCGTCGGTCGAAAGACTTCGATTCCGACGAGTTACAAACCATCGATGTTCCCGCGTTTCGTGTCGCCGTGGTGCCAAAGATTGTGCCCAATCCGAATGAGAAATATGAATGAGTCAAATTGTATCGACTTGTCCGACGCATGAGAGTGAAATACGTGTTTCGTGGTGATGAATGCTTCGGATTTACTCACACCTTCCGGTTCTGCTAGTTTTACTTTTTTTTTCTCGGTGGGATACCAGGGGGGCGATGAAAGAACCAGAATAGATTACATCAGTTATTCTTTCTTGAGAGTCTTGCTTCTAAGCTTCAAGGAAAAATAGCATAAAAGTGTACGTCATCTCATCATACAAACTTATTTTGAAAAATTAAGAAGACTGTTTTTTTCGCAATAGTTCAAACAAAGGAAAAAGGATATTGAATATTCCGAACGTCCTATGTGTAGGACATTGAAAAAAACTTGTCAGTATCAGCCCCCCAAAAACATTATATACTTTTGAAAACTACTCTATGATATACTTGCGTATCTTAGCATCGCAAATTAGTTAGTACTTGCCCATTTTTTAAGCTATGACAAAGAATTTGCCTTTTCATTATTGCGCCATGAGAATGTCTGAAGTGGATTTGAAGTTGAATTTACTCTCGTTGCTATAGCGAGGCAAATGCTTGGATCCCACTCTTGACTGATGAAATGGATAAGGAATGAATGCTGATTTCAGCAATGCAAAAGCCACCTAGCTATGATGAATCGAACTTTCCCAGATATTAAAATATGCCACTATCTTCACTGTCCTACATATAGGACGCTAGGAACATCTGGGTTAAACATCTCCAAGGCTTATTTTTTTTCGGCATCTGCCATATCAGGTGAATGAAGAAGAATCCTGCCAAATGGAAAAGAATTATCACCCAATTCTTCAAATGCAATTCAAGTTTTCAAAGTTGAAGTATCGAAAATGACAGCGAAGGAACAATACGCACCCTGCTTCTAGCCAGGTGCATCACTTTGGCGCTTTCCTAAGGGACAGCGCAGACGACAGGAAGTCACGCCGAGGAAATTGTTTTCCATTAACTTTAATTAATTAATTAAAATTGCATGATGAACATGATGACATTTTGATTTCATTATTTCCATTGTTCGATGAGTTTGAGTACGATCCCTTCATGATTGAGGAAACATTTTTCAGTCTCGATATTTTCCGCATTTTGGGTTCTATGCGTCCTGCCGTTTCCACGTTTCCGCCAATCGATACTGTTTCAGCAATTTTTTTTCTTTAAAAATTTATCAAAACCGCGACGTTCTTATTCATTAACGATTGCATGTGCTGGAAAATTTGAGGAATGTGTGAAAATAGGATGGAGAGACTTGAAAAAAATAATGTAGCCTCCTATCTTTTGGGACACAGTGTACATATGATATAGCACGAGTCCTTTCCTTCGTTTCTTCAACTACGGATCCGTCAGCTACAACGGCTGGAAGGGAACTTACTCCTCCGGCTGGTGAAACGAGTTCCCAAGCGAAGCTGGGCGATACATACGTCTTGAGGTCTAGATCCAGGAAGGTTGACGGTAGTTCGTGCCTTTCCCGCTGTGAGCAAATTTCAAATTCAAAATTAGCGATACAAATGATGTATGAATGAAAATTTTGGTATGAATACGTCCTAAAAAGAACTTACCCTGTATCTTGTCCATATCTACCTGCATACAAATTTTCACAGTTGTCAGACCAAATTTTTTTTTTCAAGTTATAGTAGGACAACCAATGCGAGACACACGGACAAGACGGGATTATAAGTGGTCTCTTTTCTTTCAGAAGAGGTCTACTAAGAAAAAAATCTCACGTTTGGAGTGAGTGGGCAATATGACTGAAGGATACTTGGGTCTTCGAATATCTATGTCCCTTTGGAGTATCCCTTGATGCCGACCGAACTCCCACGACCACGGTCGTCTTCCGTTGAGGCGAGACACTTCTCTGGCTTGCATTTTCAAGGGTTCTGTAGTAACAGCCATATGCCAGGTCTGCATTCAGTTCAGCGTTGGAATTCGTTCACAAATCCTTTAGTCGTCGTATCGGAATAACAACTGGCACCACAAATTATGCCTGCTGACAAATTTTTTGGGGAAAAATGAAACATGATGATATGAGGGTGCAATTAGTGTCTGCGGATGAAAGAGGCTTCCAAAACCTAATTCGATGTGACCGCAGCATCATTTGTCGTCGGTTAATCTTATCCGTGCACACCATGAAAATAGGGACTCCTATTTCTAGAAAGCGACCGCTTACAAAACTCTTTAAGTAGCAACCCAGAGAATGGGACTTCTGGAACTGAGTATTATTCGAGCACTTGGGGGAGCACGGGTCTACCCGACTCCAACCTGACTGAAACACCAGTGAACTTTGTATTGTAACGGAAATAACTGGATATATTTTTTATATTCAGGGCTGTTGTAAAAAAAAAAACATTTAGTGCCGCTTGAAGAGACCTTCGGAGGACAGTCGAATATCAGAGAGGTTTTTTTTAAAGAGAGGTTCATGGACACATGAGGTTTTCTACCATCCTCGCCAATATGTGGGGAGGGACTGTGATCGCATACAAGAAGGTCAAATTTGAGGAAGAATTAACTATATAATGATAGGAACGCAAGGTGCCAAGATGCGAAGTCCATGAGGGCAGCGAATGCTCGAAATGATCCATATTCATTTTCACTACTTCATGCAACCTGTGCACAACTCGGGTGAACCATGTACGGATTACAGTCACTGGGATCACAGCTATCTCGCTTTTTATCAGAAAAATCGCGATTAATCGCAGAGGGCTCTGGTTGCATAATATCAGCGTAATTCTGGTAACACAGAATTGATACGATGCGCTGACAGTACATTCAACCAGTGTCAATTTTGTCGACGGAAATTGTAGCGAAATTTCCGCATGCGAAGGGTTCTTCATTTCATCGATGATGACGACGACGAGACGAAGATTGTAGTTCGTAACAAAATTACGAAAATTGACTAAAACGGACAACCGGAATGGTGGCAAAATTTCACGCTTTACCGGGCAGCGAAAGCTTGACGAAAGTGGTCGACAACTTCGGTCGTTGAGATTAAGATGAGGACTGAGAAAAGTTTGGATACTAAATTTAACCAGTCATCATGGATCGATGACGAAAATGAGAACCCGAGGGAGAAACGCTAGGACGCTAGCATATGATAAACAATGAAGCTATGATGGAATTTGCGAGCCGAATCACCGAAAAGTTACTCTCATCAATGACCTAACTAGGTCTAGGTCCAAGGCCGAAGGAAAATGGATGGCATGGTGGGCCCCTGGTGATGTTTCACTTTTGAGGCAGACTCCCATAATCCGATCTGAAGCCCACCATACAGGCAGAAACGCGTTCCCTAGAAAGCTTCCGCTCGGAACCCCTTCCGTTTCTCCCTTCCATACCTTTTCAGTTATTCGGTGCTTCGATAACAGATCCTTTTCGAGACTGCCCAGGCCCAAAATATTCGAATCCTCAGTATGCACAACGATGTCGACGGTTGGTTGACGATGCCGATGCTTACGATCAAATGCATCGTTAACGTCGACTAGACCACCCTCAACTGGAGCATAGCACGAATTCAAGAACCCAGCATTGTTATTGAGACCGGTCTCGTTTCAACATCGAGTGCATGTAGATTCCGCTTTCCAGCATTGAATCGGAAAATTTATTTTACCATTGCTGCAATATGACAGGGTTGAAACTTTTGCAACTTTGAGACAATATTGTGTTGGGAAGGGGGAGAGAGGAGGGGAAGGAGGAGGGAAGGGAGGAGAGGAGGAAGGAGGAGGGAAGGGAGGAGAGGAGGAAGGAGGAGGGAGTTTCCCAGTCCGTCGGAAATCTGTTTTCTCGCCTACGTTCCTCGATTGATGAACGTATGTTGATGCCAGTAGCAAGTGCGAGTTGTTTTTTTTCTGTTTGCAAAGGAAACGCGAGAGCAGGATGCTCACCCAGTCTGCACGACAATATTGTTCTCAGCGTTGCAAAAGTATTGAATTTTAAAGGCTGAATCTACGTTGGTTCCATGTTGAAACGAGACGGGTCTCGACGTTGCTGAGGTGCCGAATTCATGCTGTGCTCCAGTTGAGTGCTCAATGCCATGTGAATGTTGCGTCCCCTAACAAAACGTCCACCCCCTATCCCCCTGGTCAAACAACCAGGTTGATAGGGGGTGGATTTGGAACCAGTTGGACGTCCCCCTCCCTGGTGGAAATCCACCTATCCATTCGCGCCCATGTATTTCGATCCAGGTGGATTTTCCATCCCGGTGGATTTTCCCCCGGGTGGACGTTTTGTATGGGTCCGCGTGATCTTACTCTTACGAAAAAATTATTGCTAAAGAGTTTCTGCAGAATGCAACAGAATCACAATTGGATGCAATTAACAGTCATACCACTGCTGTATTCATCTTGGAATCAAGTACGTGGAGAAACTGTTGCTAGTGAATGTGAAAGTACTGTTGCAATGCAGCGAGATCGCATTGTTTCCGTAATGACATTTGAGCATTCGCTTGAGCTGAATTTCATTGCAATCATATTGCGTTACACTATGATGCAATTGGGACATGTTATGAAGGCATTGATGTGCTTCCTCTGGGAGGCTTCATAGAGAATGTTTGAATGAATGAACAATGAATAAATCATCGAAATCCATAAAATGTGCAACAGCAACTCCCATAGCATTCCCGGTGTGAAAGCACTGTATATGAATGGCAACCACAGTACATCCCACTGAATTTGAAGATGCACGAAGCAGTGATGTGACACTGAATTTACAGGAACGATCTGACCACGCAGGTGGGAATTGAAGCATGTCGACTTCTTAACAACCGTTAAGGGTCGAATGGACTTCGATGCAAAATTTTCGTCATTTGTGTCGGTTGCGCCGTAAATTTTAAAAGTCTGATACTATACTCTGATACTCCGAGTATTTTCACGAAGACACGTGATTGCGATGAGTCAAAGTGGTTCGAAGGGATTCTTTGGGAACGAAGAGACGAAACATGGTGAAACGTATGACCATCCGGGTTCTGGTGGTTACAGGGTCGATCGTGCTCGAAGCGGTCGGCCGAATTCCTCCCCTGGTGGGATGCGCATTTCTAATCGCACTCGGTGGTGCGGTTACAGACGTGCCATCACTTGGCCACACGGAGGACTAGCAGAATGCAGCTTCTCACAGCAATCGTGATCCACGAAGAGAAAAATGCATGAAATTGGTCCG